TAACAAAATGTATGGATAATTTTAGTTCTATGAACATTTTTTATTGTATGGTGCGAAAGGAAAATATATGTAGATCAATAATTAATGTTTTGGGTAACTGACTCTTTTTTCATGCACGTTTTTTATATTTTTAGGAATAAAATGTTATGTTTGTATGTAAGCACATTTCATCAAGTTAATTTCGCTGTAAATTGATATAAAAAAAATGTTGGAATCCTTTTTTTGGATGAACATTTTTTTTTAATTTAGGATTTTTTTAAAAATGTTTTTAATTTTAAAAATGTTAAGGATTTTTTTAAAAACGCCCCTGTTTTTTGTCGCCCATTGCAAATTTGTCGCCCAAACACTTTGCATATATGAGAAATCCAGCCTTGAATCCAGTAAATCTAGAATATCAACACTCTTCGGAGGCTGGTCTCACGGATTCTGGAGGAGACCACTTATTGCATCAAACTACTACTACCGACCTTTTTAAAAGAACACCTCGCGTCATGCATGTAAAAGAAAAGAAAATATGTGTAAAGGAGACAAACAGAAAAATACAAACATGGGTGTAGTTAATGAAATAAAAGATCTAAAAACTGATAACTGCCACTTAAATATAAGAATAAGTGAGCTAGAAGCATTTTGTAAAGAATTAAAAAATGAAATCCAGTATCTCAGAGACGAAAATAATAAGTTAAAATTGGAATCAAGCATATACAATAAAACATCATGTATATACAAGAAAATAAATAAACGCGGAAAAAAGTTGCGACAAACAAAGTGGAATACTGCACAAATGAGGAGGATCTGGTTCGGAAAACCGATTGGATTCTCGAGAGGAAAAGCAAAAAGCGAAGAGCAGACATGTCACCTGAAATAAGTCCTGAGGACAAGCTGAGCAAAATAAAGAAATATGTGCAGATAAATGCACTACAAGAAAGATCGAACTCCCTCCTGTTATATTGAGCAATGTGGAGGAATATCCAAAAATAAAAAAGATGCTAAAAGAAGCCAAAATAAACTTTAGGGTTAACATGATGAATAATAATCAACTTCAAATCAATGTTGATCAATAACAAGATTAAAGAGGGTTAACAAAAAAATTAATGAATTTAAAGTAGAGTGGCATACCTACGAAAATAAAACTAAAAGACCCATCAAGGTGATGGCTAAAGGCTTGCATCCTTCATGCCAACCTAAAGATATTAAAAACGAGCTAAAAGAGAGGTACTTTAAAGCTATTGAAGTCGTTAATAAAATAAGAAAGTCGAATAAAGAAAACAAGATCACTATGATCCGACTTCCCCTTTTCATGTTATTCTTTGAAAATTCGGAGGACATAAATAAAATTTACAAAATTGATGTACTTCAGCACATGAAAATTAAAATTGGGTCACTAAGGAGAAATAATTTAGTTCCTTAGTGCAGAAGGTGGTAGAAATATGGGAATACGCAGAGGTTTTGCCAGCGTCAAGTGTGCTGGTCCTAATTTAACGATAAATTGTGGTAAGCAAAAAATCGATGCTCCAAAGTGTGCAAACTACTTTAAGACACATCCTTCGAATTACAGGGGTTCTATGGTTGTAAGGGAATTACAAAAAAGAAAATATAACCTTAAAAAACAGAAACAAATAAAAATTATACCAAAAAATACTCCAAAAACTCCAAAAGCCCCAAAAACAACTACATTGAGTAAAAGAGTGCAGGGAATACAATATGCTGAGGTGGCGAGGGGTGAAACATATAACCATACCAAAGAACGAAGACATTTACCATCTCAGAAACCTGCTGAAAGCAATATAAATATAGTGAAAATTATGCAAAATATGATAAAAACTATGAACGAAATCTCATTGAGATTGAACAGATTAGAAGATAAGCATGATAATTTTATATATGTACACCAAAAAGAATAAAAAAAAATGGACGAAGATTAAATAAGAATTGCGATGTGGAACGGAAATGGCGTTCTTAATAAAAAGAGTATATTAGAAGGACCCATAATATTGATATATGTTTAGTAACGGAGACACATTGAAAACAGGAAAGAGATATAAAAATAAATGGTTTCATAGAATATAAAGCGGCGCATTCTAATAACGATTCCAAAGATGGTTGCGCTATTTCGACAAAGAATAATATAAAACATAATGAAATAAGATAAGTAGAAAGAGGCAATAGCCAATTTGTTGCTGTGCGAATAGAGTTTTATAAACAAAATTTTGATGTTGGTGTTCTTTACTGTACTCCAGGTCGTGCTATAAGGAGTTCATTCAAGATCTCCTGAATCTTCTTAAAGAAAGGTTTATTCTGGGAGGTGACTATAATGTCAAACATATTGATTGGGGTTCTAGATTGACCTCAACAGGAGGTAGAGAGCTAAGAAAAAGCTATTAATGTGATTGGTTGTCACTACCAATCCACTGGTAGACCAACATATTGCACAATTAATAGAAATAAGATACCAGATCTGCTAGACTTCTTTATTGTCAGGAAAATCTCATTAGTTTAGAAGATAACTATGATTTGGATTTGGATCATTCTGCAGTTATATAAACTTAACTGACACATTCACCAAGAAATGAAATAAGCCCATGTTGATTAATAAATCCACTGACTGGACTAGTTTTAAAGAAGAGATAAAGAATAAAATAAACTTAAAAATTAATATCATACAATAAATCATACAAAGTCGCTGCCTAATACAAAACAATATGAGTATAAATCCGTGGATATGACTTACCCAAGAGAAATACTGAATTTGATAAACGAAAAGAGAATAGCTAGACGCAGATGGCAGAACTCAGTTTATCCGGCAGATAAAACTACTCAATCGACTCACTCAGAATCTAAAAAAAAAGATAAGAAAGATCAAAGAAGATTCATTTGATAATTACATTAAAATTTTGTCAGCGGAACAAGAAGGTAATTATTCTTTATGAAGGGCTGCAAAAAATATTAAAAGGCCAATTTTACAAGTCCACCCTATAAGGGGAGCGGATGGCAAATGGGCAATAGAAAATAGGGATAAGGCTTCAGGCCAAATGACATACACTCAAACATAAATATTTTAATGGGAAATGTGAGGGCAGAAAACATTATCTCTCCATTTGCATAAAGAGAAATAATGGAAGAAATAAAAAGTTTAAATTCAAGGAAAGCACCAGGATATGATTTAATTACCTCTCAGATACTGAAGCAATTACCAAAAAAGGTTAATATTCTCTCTTCTTACTTAACCGACAGATTATTTAGAGTCAAACAGGAGGGGGACTCTTCCACACTTAGAGAAATAAGAGCAGGTGTGCCTCGGTATTTTGGGTCCAATATATATACCCTTTACAAGGGATGTGCCTCAAATAGAAAACACAATTGTGGGTACATATGCTGGCGATACTGCAATTATGGCAGTAGAATCAAATATTGACGACGCCACAAGAAGATTGCAGCAGGGAAACAATAGTTTTGATGCTTCGACCAAGAAATGAAAAATTAAAGTAAATGAGACTAAGTCTGCACAAATAAATTTTACAAACAAAGTTCTAGTAAACCCCCCACGTGTTAATTTAAATGGGGTAAATGTTGCGCAGGAAAATGCGGCGGAAAATCTGGGAATGATACTGGATGTTAAGTTAAAATGGAAAGAACATGTTATGAAGAAAAAGGCAGAATTAGAATTAAAATATAAAGAAATGTATTGGCTCCTAGGTCGCAAGTCAGGGCTGCCGATACAGAATAAGATCCTGATCTATAGCCAAATTATTAAACCGGTTTGGTTGTATGATAGCCAGTTGTGGGGATGTGCCGAACAGATACATGTCCAGCGAATACAAACGTTCCTGAATATGCGCGAAATGGAGATTTGCGCAGAAATTTAAAGATTCCATGTGTAGTTGACGAAATTAACAAAAGGACGGTGAGACATAGAGCTCGTCTGGAGTAACATGTCAACGTAGAGCCCTCTCGGCCCCTTGTTATCCGGGATTCTCCCAGAAGGCTAAAGAGGACTTTGCCTCCTGATTTAGCGCAAAATGCGCTTCACCAAATCGGGGAGCATTAAATCTCTTTCAATCTATATTAAACTATGGGTTGTCAGTTTAATCTAACTATGGGTTGCCAGGGAATGGCATGTTAGTAGCATTCATGCTTTCCTCCTTTCTTCGACGAAAAAAAAAAAAATTTTGTCGTACATCTAAACAGTACCTAAGGTGTCACTTACACATCAGGCTAAATCTACGATAAAATCTGATGAGTAGTTAAACATCAGATTCTATTTATACTTTTACGTCACATTTTTTATGGCAATGTGCAGCCGCTGCCTTTATGTGGTCTGCCTTCTTTCGCCGTGGGGGCCAGGTTTGTATTTCAGCGTACGGCGGAATGCGACCTTCACTGGCGGGGCACGAAAAGGTATCGTCAGGCTGGCGGATTCGGGTTTCCCCCTGTGCAGATTTTGTAGGGGCGGTGACGAAACCGCCGTGCACATCCTTTGCGACTTTCCGGCACTGGCTGTTCGGCACACACAGTTGTTTGTTTTGTCGCAAGGGAAAACATTTTTTTAATACAATAAGAAAGTTCTGTTACTGGTTGCTTTTGTTTTTATTGATTTTTGTTTTATTTTAGGATTGAAAGAATAACGAAGTATTCTCGGTTATTTCTATTCTCTAAGTCATGGATGGCAATTAAAGGGCACGCGTGCCAAACTTGGCACGGAAAAAAAATTTGATGGCACGTTATAGTTGTGCCTCGACAAATTTTTATATAGATTTTTTTTCTAATAAAAAATCTAAAAACTCGTTGAAAAATTGATTGAATGAAAAATTTCCTAAAAATGATAACTTCCTAATAGCGAAATGAAAAATATTCAAAACCAAACATATTCAAATGTTATATTCTTTTTATTTTTGTTTTTTTTTCGCTTCACTAACCCAGCATTTACACGTACAAGTTACTTGCAAGAAAGTTGCAATACATACAAAAATTTTACTAACACATTGAAATATTTCTATTTAGAAATGCAAATTATTGATCTGCAATCCAATCCAATTTGGGTAAATAAATTTGTGAATATGCGGAAGCTTGTTGAAGATTTAGAAAGCCATCGATCCCAAAATGTGGAATCAGAATGTTTCATGGAAAGTAAAATTTTAGAAGCTTGGAATAGTATGCCAGATACCTTTTATTCTGTCAAAAAATTAGCAATCTCGTTGTTAACGATTTTCTCTTCCACTTACTCTTGCGAAAGTCTTTTTTCCGTTTTGAATCATGTACATTCAAAGACTAGAAACAGATTAACAGAGGAAGATTCGGCAGCATGTATTACTCTGCAGTCAACAATGTACCAGCCCGACATAAAAACTCTTGCAAGTAATATGAAACAAAAAGTTTCTGATAAAAAATTAAATTAATATTTTTTCTATCTGTATTTATTAATTTTTATACCTTGAACTATAATATGTATAAATAAATATTATTACAACTTGTCATAATATTGTATTTACCTAACCATACCTGTACTTGGTACTGTGCTGGCACGGGAAAAAGTGTGACAATAAATTTCCCCAAATTTTGGCACTTTGATCAAACCCTATTTGCCATCCCTGCTCTAAGTGTATTTTTTTAAAAGCCCGGGGCGGTAGCTTTGCTTCGACAATTTTATATTTCATTTCGCTTTTTTGATTTCGTTTCGAACATTTTTGGTAACACATACGCATAGTGTCTAGTATTTTTTTAGATGTTTCAAAAGAATTTGTGAGATAACAAATATATGACCGCCAGGAAATCTGGTACGCAACGTGGTTTTTTAAATTAAATTTTACACGTAATATTTAAAAGTTAAATTAATGAAATTTAATGTAAAAGTATCAATTTTTTTAACCCAAAAAAAAAATTAGAGAAAAACATCTTTTTAATAAAGAAAAAGTAAGCTAAAATTTCACATATGGATAGATCTTTACTAGGAACTTTTTTTTGTAAAAAAAATTTTTAACTATCTCCTCCCCTCTAAAAATTATAACCCCTCAAACGCAAAAAAGGAGCGACTGCCGTTTTCTACCGCGTCACAGCATTGGTGAACCTTAAAAAGACAAAATGGTCGTTAAATACTGTTTTTTGCTCGTTTATCCTGATATCTGTGATTATTTTAACCATATCATTAGTGATTAGTTTCTGTAATTGTTTTACGTCATTAAGATGCAAGCTCTAGAGATTTAGCCGTAATTGATTAACAGCTTTCTCAAAATCTTCTTCACATTTCTTACGTGTTCGTTCTCACTTTGCCTTCGAAAGATGATTAGATCATCGAAATAAACTTAAGTGATTTTTCTCATAAGCTTATTGAACCTTATAGCTAAGCGTTTTTAGCCCGAACAAGAGTCGTATAAGTTCGAGCTTTAATTGTGGGAAAAACTGTATTCTTAATGTTTTCTGGTCTCATTTTTATTTGGTAAAACCCTCATGTTAAATCTATAGTTGTGTTACTTGATACCAGAAGCGTGCATTTTCCAAATATTCAAATAGATGAACTGATTTGGTTTTTTGATAGCCTAATAATTCCGCCATTTAGCAATATTTTTATTTGGTTGCTAACTTCTCATATAAACGGAAAAGGGATATAAATGTAATTGTTTTAATTTTAACTTCAACAGGTCTCTCCATAGTTGATTACTCAACTCTACACAGCGGTCTAAAATTTTGTAAATTGTTTATGTGTTTCTGCATTTGAGTGATCGTCTTTGATATCCAAATTATTAACTTAATACTTAGAGCCATTATTGGAGAATGTTAATATTTGGGGCTAATTTTTCGTGTCAATAATTGCTTTCATTTCTTTTAGAGTGCCGTCGCATATTACGCCGTCAAAGACTCTAAGTCCTAGTAGAACGAAGGACTTCTCCATAGAAATTTTTTAAGAGATGTCAGTCTATCGGTCTTTAAAATTTTATATGTGAGTTTATTGCGGCCATGTCACGGATTAATCAAATTATTGGACATGCTAAAACTCGGGAATATGGGATATATTGTAGCCGATTTCCTTAACCACGCTTTGCAGCGCTCACCAGTTTATAAGATAAATCCTTTTAACCTTTAAAAGCCAAAACGTTTATTATACTACTTAGTTGTGCTATAAGTTAAAACTGAAGTCACAATTTTATTCTTTGTATACTAATTAATTGATTTAGTTTGATACTTTGCGTTTCCTGTTGAGACAAAGTAATAAACGTTCTAAATTGTAAAACTTCATATTACGTTGAAAATTTTAAATTAAAATGGATAGTAAAAAAAAACAAAACAATCAAACTACAATTAAAATTTAAACTAAAAAATGAAAGTTTCTAATTATTCTTTTCAAATATTACGCAATATTTTGAAATTTAATGTAGAATCAAACCCTTATGAGAAAATTTCTGTAAAAAATTTCAATGCAGAATTCATTTGTTGGCACTTCTGATGTTGCGCTTGTAATACCCCATTTCTTACGTACCATACTATTGTTAACTTACATAAATAACACTTGCCTGTATTTTTAAGCACTTTTCTAAAAAAAAAAAATGGAAAAAAGTGCTTATTAATCTCTCGCACTGCCATAATAGATATTTCAATAATAGATAAAGAAAATAGAATAGATATTTAGATAATAGATAAAGAAACTTATTTCCGCGTAACAAAAGTTTTAACTATCTCCTCTCCTTTTAAAAGTTATATCCCCTGAAACCCTAATTTTATTACTGGTAGTAGGTATACACAGACTGTTTTTAAAAGCAGTATTTTCACTAGTTGAAGGGAAAAAGGCTACGATACAAACCATTGGTTCGACCCAACTTTATTATTTATATTACTGGAATATAGGCTTAGTCGTCAATTAAGCACATATTTTCATTAATATTCAAAAAAAAACTTACTGTAAAATCTAAAATAAATCTTGTCAAAAAAAAAAATAAAAATACACTTAAAGGTGTGGCAAAAAAAGTGAAATATCAATTATGTGAAATTTTAATTTATTACTTATATATGTATATGTTTTTCTTTTGTAGATTTGGTTTTAAATTTATTAAATATATAAGAGATACATACATATGTATTTCGCTTCAATTCTCAGTAAAAATTTTTAACAAAATTTCGTAGGTTAATGTAAAAATGTTGGTATATTTTTAACGTATATTTTTTACTCCACCTGGTATAAATGGTGAATAAAAAGAATAGAATGTAATTAAGTCATGCTATAAAGAATTTTTAGCACTTTTCCAAAAATTTTTTGAAAAAAAGTGCTTATTAGTTTCACTCTGTCCGTCCGTCCGTCCGTCCGTCTGTCCGTGTGTCTGTTTACAAAACTTCTACATTCTTAAAGATAGAAAGCTGAAATTTAATACGTACATAGATCTTCACTAGAAACTTATTTTCGTAGAACAAAATTTTTACCTATCTCCTCCCCTCTAGAAGTTATACCCCCCCAAAGCACTAAAAATGGCCTATTTTAACTATTTGTTGCAATGAAACCATAAGCATTTTTGAAATTTTGCAAACGCAGAAGGGCAGTGACTTGCTTCCCCTACCGCGGTATACTATAGTTAAACTTTAGAAAAACAAAATGGCCGTTCAAATTTACCGTTATCTAAAGTCCTTTTTTTCCAAAATTTTTCATGTCGTTTTTCTTCTAGACCCCAGCCTGTAGAAGCTTGAAATTTTAGGAGCTTTTAGACATTAATAAGTAGTTCATTTCGTTAGAAGAAAATTTTTTTTCATCTCCACCCCCTCTCAAGTTATAGCCTCTTGAAATTTGTGAAATATGCATTTTTGACACCTTATATTTCTGAAACCGCAAGTTTTTTCAAATTTCTATAAACGCAAAAAGTTAACAGTAAATTCCATGAAATTAAAAAATATAATTATTTTTCCTTACTCACACAATTAACCCTTAAAATCGAGCATTATGTTTACCCCTGTTTATATTAAATTTTGCTTTATTTCAAAGACTGCATAAATGGTTCATCCTAAATATATGCAATCCTAGAAATAGTTTCGTTTATAAATGAAAATAATTTCAATAGTGTGGTGGATATACATAGACTGTTTTTAAAAGCAGTATTTTCACTTGTTTAAGGGAAAAGTGCTACAATACAAACCATTGGTTTGACCCAACTTTATTTACTCTTATTCTTTATACATACATACATATGTATATCTATTTATTCAACTCATTCGGAATTTTCCATAGAGCTGTAATTGACTATTCTATTCTTTCAATTTTTTTTTTTCAGATAAATAAACAAAAACATTTTGTTTATGTACTAAATAATTTAAGGGCACCAAAAAAAAGACATGTCCCTTATTTAAGAACAAACTTGCCAAAAAAAATTTGTTCCATTGCACTTCTCAGTCGCTTGGGTAACAACAATTTCAGATGAATTAAACAATCATCAACTTTGTTGTTCAAAAACTACTAATTTCTACAATGACGCTTTGAAACTCCATTTACTGATGGAACTGAATACTATTTTCAATGAATTTGTTGGTAATTGATCGATATTTAATGTGAAGCTTATTTTGAAAGCATGGTCCATATAATATAAATAATGCTCAAATTTAAAATTTTTAATTGATACTGTTATGTATTAAGGAAAATAACTAAAATACTTATAAAAACTGTGAATCAACTCGTAAAACGACCTTTTTATATATGTATGTAAAATTGAAAATACAATAAAGGTCACAAAATTATTAGTATTAAAAGAAATTACAAAAACGTATTATAATATCGAAACGGCAGAAATTTAAAACTGAAAATGGTGTTTTTTAATAATGCAAGAAAAACATCAAATGCGAACAACACGTAACTGACCGATTTGTTAAAGTGTTTGGATATAGAATTCCAAAAATTTCCTTTAAACGTTTATTTTATGTTCTATAAATGATAGAAAGTAAGCGTGATTTAATATATATAGAAAAATTTGGTTCTAAGTTAATTATATTACAAGTTTCCCCAAGTTAATTTCGTTAATTACTAGAGCTCAAATTTTAAATTTCAAGAAAATCCATCAGTTGCTGACACACAATAAAAACAACCTTTGGTGTAAATTCTGTTTCTAAGCCCTAATATTCACGAAAAAATGATTCTTTAATAACCGAAACTGATTCATTGTTTTAATTATGAAATTTCCAGAAAATTGGTTAATTATTTCTATGTATGTATGTATATGAGCAAAAATGTAAACTTGTTAAATATGTACTTATGTACTCGTATATACATAACGTACATACATTCCAAATTTTAATTTTTGCAAAGTTTCTATGGAAACATTGTTTAAAAAAAACTGTGCACATATTCTATCAAAATTTATAATTATTATTTTGCTTTATATCTTTTTAAAGAGGAAAAGAATTGTCGAAAAAAAGCACACTCATTTAATATGTGTCCGTCGAAATTGTCATAATAAAATTTTTAGAAAAAAACAAAAACAAAATAATTGACATTCGTGTAGATCTGGACATTTTATCGTTTAAATATTGACATAAATTTATGGCCGAATTAACAACAAAATCATTATAAAATGTTGGTATATATTATGTAAGGACTTTGTTCCTATTGTTCATTTAATTTAATATTACTTTATTTATTTATTTATTTATTTATTTATGCTTAGCTCAAACAATTTACAACCTTAAAGAAGAATATTATTCAAGATGAGAACGGACAAGGCATAACTAAATAATGATCATCCATTTTGTTTGAAAAGATTGTAGTAGTGTCCACCAGTTTGTCATGGTTGATTTATTTTTCAAGAAACCATACTGAGACCCGTTGATGAACAGAATAAAGCCATACAGTGCTACCAAATATATTATTTTCACGGTACTTGAACATTTTTGTTGAACTCTTGCACCATGAAAAAATTTGACTTGTCACGGTACACTAAATGTACCACTTTGTTAGTACCTTTGTGTTAAAATATAATTTTTTTTTTTATTTTTTTAAAAAACATTTTTTCCTTTAAAGAAATGATGTTGAAGAAAAAAGTTAAGTATTAAACTTTTCTACTTGTGGCTATTGCTTTGTTGAGTTTTCTGTTTCAAGAAGTATAGGATCTTTAAATAAAATTCTTTAAAGGCTAAAGGGTGTAAGGCTACGATTTACACACTTTTAAATTGGCCCGACGTGCTAAATTTAGATACATTTTACCTTTTTTTTTCAAATTCCATTAAAAAACTTTTGAAACTC